AGCAAGATTATGGATTTGTGTTGACGGCTGGAATCTTACGGGATCTTACTGATGACTTGTGAAAAGTTGACCCTTTTATGAAAAAAGGGTAGGATTCCACGGAAACGCGGGAAAACTTAATCTTGCATTAAAAATATGTGATTGTTTAAAATTAACCAATCACTACACTTGTACTAAAAGAACAGGCAATTAAGCTCAAAAACCAAAGGATTCAAAGAAACGACTGCGATGGCTAAATTGTCCTATATAAAGGTAGTAGTGATTTATTAGCCAATCGCAGGCAAATAAAATGTGGGCGTGGGAAAACATAGCAACCACTACAAATTTATGTGATAAGAGCAAATACAAGAAAATACTGAAAAATTTATAATTACAGTTTGTAGTATAGCAACAACTCTAAGTAAAATCCTATGAAGCCTTATTTGTCAGAATTTATTGTCTTGATAAATTCGACCATTGAACCAGAAATTCTGAGTGGCAAATAAGAAAAGCAAAGGGGTTTAACACACTAAAAAGTTTTGCTCAAGACTTGCAAAGAATTTTATTAAATAAAAGGAGGCACCGAAGTGGAGCATTAAGGTAAATTACAGTATACAAATGTACAATAGTTAACACAAAAGGGAGCCTGGCTTGCAAACAATTTCCTGCCACAAGTATAGTTTGGCGCCAAGTAACACACAAAAAGGAGAAAGTAGGATTGAAACCTACCCAAAGTTCACAAACAAAGAAAATAGTCCTTGCTAAAAGATGAGAGGAAAAATCTCTCTAGCAGAGTTTGTGCTCTTAGGAACCAAAGGTATTGTTTTAAAAGGTTTCTTGTAGGAAGGAAGCTTCCAGTCAAAGGACTTCTACAAGAAGAAAAAGGATGCTGCTCTTATCATGTTCAGTTGAACAAATAAAGTTGCTAGTAGGAATTCTGGCATTGACAGAAATATGTTGAATTAACACAAGGCCTAACCAAGAATTTGGAGAATTTTCACACTATTTTCTGGGTCTTTAGCTGGGAAGAGAAATGTCTTCTTTTTTTCTGGCCTGTAGTGAAAGAGATAATCAGCTATCTCGAAAAAGAGTTTGTGTTTTGTGTGCTATCTGTTGAAGAAAAATTACCAAAAAGTAGTTAGCAAAAATCTACTTTAAGGACCAGAATCTATGCTAATGTTCTTCCCTCCCCTAAATGGTGTGACCAATCAGAAAAATCTCTCAGTGAACAAAATCCGTTGTTTTTCACTTATGTGGAGATTAGATTTTCTGAGCTTGGTGGATGAACATGCGTTTTTGCTGGTAAGAAGTGATGGTTGGATGTATGACCCCATTTTGTTGTTTCTACGTTGCCTGTTGGACTGTTACAATGGACTATCGTTTGAACTGTGATTGAGCTACAAGTGTTGTGGTCGAGAGACAGAAGAAATCTATTGCAGACGGCTGTTGCTACTATAAGCTCACAGTTTTTTTTCTTCTTTTTCTTTTCTTTACAATTACATGGCCTATCAACCTTTTGTCAATACTCAAACAGGAACAGCAACAAGTTCAGCAGAATGACAAGCCGACATCTGTATTTCAAGGTGGTCTTGATAAAAGAGGTCAACAAATGGTTCTTTTTCGCAGACGTAGAGTTCAAAAACAAGGACCGGCTCTCATTGGTTGATGCAGACGCATGTTTAGAGCTGTCCTTGAAAAAGGACTTCTTCCAGGAATTATTACACCCAACAAAGGGTGACAACAAACTTCATAAGATCTGAAGCAATCACACCACTCACACATGTACACCTACCTATTCATGCAAACATATTTTTAATATATTTGACTAATGATATTTACTGTACAAAAAAATGTACAAATGTGGCTCAAGGCCAAAATAGGGGAGGAGGAAAGCTGGACTTCATCTGTCTCGTACTTAATTTTAGCTAGCCACAACCACTGACCCAAACATACCACAATAATCTTTACACCAAAACAAACAACACATTCTTACTTACCATTCTTACTATGGTCACCATAATTCCTCAGAGACTTTATGAAGTCCTAACTAGTCCCCATATGTACAATTTGTCTATGGGGGTGGGGAATAAAACAACAACTTTTAAAAATTTAAAAACCCCAATGAATATTATCAATGAAAAAAAAAGATCTATTTAAAAGAAACAAAAGAAAATACTGTTAGTAATAGAATCGACACCTCCCACAATGGTTAATTGTAGCAGAAACATCAGTTAACTGGATAAATTTAATGTGACACTTTAATAATTCAAACAATCATTTGACCAAGCACTCACTCAAACACACACTCATCCAAACACAACAATTCTGTAATTATACACAGGGAAAACATTGTCCACCTGATAAATAGGGAGATACACACTCAGTCTTTGTGATCACACCAAAAATCTAAAATTAAAAGTGTGTTTGTGTACTGATAAATCATCAGTTACCTCCCCTTAAGATCTAAGCGGTATAAAAAGCACCTTGTATAATCCATCAGTGCAATAAAGCTTTGGTATAAGTTTATTCACTGGTTCTGTTTTTACTACAGTTTGGTTCAGAGGCTCACAACCTATTTTAGTCAATTTATTTGGTGAGAGCAAATACAAGAAATGCCTGGAAAATTTATAATTACAGTTTGTACTATAGCAACAACTCTAAGTAAAATCATATGAAGCCTTATTTGACTAATGATATTTATTGCACAAAAAAATTTACAAACATGGCACCAGTCTAAAATAGGGGATGGAGAAGGCTATCTCAGGCTTAAACTTAGCTAGCCACAATCACTGACCGAAACATATCACAATAATCTTTACACCAAGACAACACATTCTAACTTAGCATTCTTACTATGACCGGAGACTCTATGAAGTCCTAACTCATCCCTATATGTACAATTTGTCTGTGGAGATTGGGAAATAAAATAACCTATAAAATGTATCTTTTTATTCTGTTGCAGGCTGATGTATGCATTGAGAGATAAACATGTGTGTCTCCTGAAATGCCCACAACAAACATGGCAGACTCAGGATTTAAGTACACATAAAGAAATGACATGAACCAATATATATGTACAAACAAATGATAATGTATTAACAATAAATGGTTACAAGTGACAAAGACAAAGATATGTGTGCGTGTTAAATGAATGTAAAAACCTAATGGTCCAAAGTATGTGTAGTGAGTGAATGTGTGTATGTATGTGTGTGTGTGTGTATTGTTCCTGTATTTCCCAAAAGGGAATGCATTCTCTGTGAGAGATTGACATGTTGTCATATAAGCAAAAAAGTAAGAGGAGAATGATAAAATTTTTATCACAGAGTATTTATAGTCCTGAAAGCATCCCTAGTAGCAGTTGCAAAAATTATGAGGAGGTAATCCAACAATACATTAGCAAGAAAGATATACATTTTAATTATTTTTTTCAAGCAAGGGAGCTAATTCACCAATAGTCATATTGGTGGATACGGCACTAAGATGAAAACAAGATCTATTTACAAGAAACAAGAAATAAAAGTGTTATTGTGACAGTATGGTGAATATGAAATAAAAATAACTCTCTTTTCTCCATTGTTTTCAAATTTGTGAGCCTATGTGAAAATTTATTTTGACCAATAGAAAAAAGGGATTGGCTCCAGGCTGAAGAAAAAACCAAGGTAAAGTTTAACGAGCTTATGTGAAAATTTATTTTGACCAATGGAAAAGGGAATGGCTTACAAATTGAGAAAGAAGTAATGAGCCTATGTGAAATCACTTTTTGATATAAATTGGCAGAGAAAGTTGAATCAAGAAGAGAAAAAAAAGCAAAAAGAAGCAGGATGCAAGAAGCAGAGTTCCATGCGTATGAATAACACTGGTGTCGAATTACATGCTGATACATTATCAGCCTCTAAATGAGAGCAGGGCAATTTCAAAGATCTCTATTCAATTCCAAAGCTAAGTACCTTAAAATATACCTTTTAATTCATGTTGAATACAACCGTATAACTTTTATGTGAAAAACAAACTCTCTGAATTTGTTTTAAACATTTTGGAATATTACTTTGTGCCTGATGATTTAATATGAACATTTTCTCTTCTTCACAATTCATCGAAACTACAAACGTTAAATATTTGATTCCTTTTCCTGAAGCAAGTTACTGACAACTTCAAATGTCTAAATTTGTAAATAAATTCCTTATCTTGTTTTGTTAAATATAACACATGTGTTTCCTCATCATTATTCTACAATACTTCAACAGAACCATTAATTGTGGCAGAAACATAAGTTAAATTAATGCAGGGCTTTACTAATTCAAACAATTATTCATTCAAGAGAGATCCCCCACTCCGCCAAAAAAACAAAAAATAAACAAAACTTGATTAATTCAGCTTGAGTGCTGGAAACGTTTATTTTTACAGTGGATGGTTACAAGCAAGAGGGGAAATGGGATGTACTTAGCTGAATTTCTGGGAGGAAGCATTGTTATTATTATTTATGTTTGATTAGTATTTGCTTCACCTTGTAGTGAGAGTTTTTAAATGTCTAAAAACATTTTAATTGAAAGACGTATTACATTAAAATTAAATTGGTCACGCTTCATCTCAGAAATTCGATTACAGCTGGAAGTAATTTACTTAGTGGACTCCATTTCTCGTCACCGGTTTATACTGTCACTTCATGTTGCTATAGCAACAGTAATTTTAAAAAAAGGATTAAAATTTTATTCTTTATTACAATATTTTCATTTTGGATTAAATTTTAAAATAAAACTGTTTACAATTTTTTTTAAAGTGGTAGGAACTTCTTTTTATAAGTAATTTAATAAATGAATAACTTTTTTTGTCAATTTTTGTTGTGTGTAAATAAAGCAAAATTACGAACTTGTGTTTATTAGTCTACTGTTTATTACACGGAGTAACTTATTTAGTTTTTTAGTGTAAATTTAAAATTAAATAATTTAATTTAAATTGGTTTTATTGAGCAACAATTTTTGTAAGTTTCATAAAAACAATATTTGTTCTCTCTTCGACGAAAAATGGATGATTTGGAAAACACAACTTACCCCAAAACTTCTGATAACTTTTTAACTATTAAACAAATTGTAAGTAACAAAAAAAAAAAAAAAGAAAAAAAAGTTTTTATTTTATTTATTAACCCTTTTCTCCCACACTTTGTCTTTGAAAAAATACTTTATCTGATTTAAAATTGTTGGTTGGTTTGTTGATTGATTCGTTTCCTACGGCTTATCAACCCTTTCTTTGCAGGTTATTTAAAGCCAGGAAATAACTTTTTTTAGTCAGTTAAGTTCCACATCTTCTTTCGATACATGACTATTTTTCCCACAGTAGGTTGCCATTTCTTTCTGCAGTAGACTGGTTACTAACCAAGGCTAAAGAACCCAGTCTGTCCTGCTTTTCAACCCATAGTTGGGGGGAGAAGAGGTGGATTCATGTCTTTTCCTAGGGTATTTGTGCATAAGTGAATATAACGAACTTGACTGGAATTCTCATTCCAGAGCCAATACCCCCCCCATATATTTTAAATAAATATTCTAAAACAATCATGGGTTCCAGTTCAGATAAAACCCCATTGCAATGCTAGAGCTATACTTTCTGGATGGGGGTGTAGGGGGGTTAAGAATGGCCCTAAAATCAATTTTCAATTGACTTTTATTTCATAGCGAAATTTCCTACCTTGTCAAAATTACCGAATTATCCATTACTGAATCTTCCAGGCACCTCTCAAGTAAGCCAATAAGCCATGCTTACTAAATCACCATATTGACTGACATTGTTTTCAAAAGTATGTAGTGGACCCAAACCTTGAGATTGAAATTGGGTACCCTTGGGGGCCGTTGATAACTGTGCGAGCACAAAGTCACAAGTCATCATGGCCAAGGGCTTGAGCGTGCTGGCCTTGTTCAAATTGTTGATCACGCTAGATAACACACTCTTTCCCAGAAACTGTAACTAAGGTCTGCTCAGCATAGTGGCAGTATAAATCACAGGTGGCCTCTGTGGGTGTTGAATAAATACAAGCCACCCTAGTAGACAGGTATCCTTGACTACGAGTGGCCAGCTATACTATATACATAAATATAATTTTCTCTTTCTGTTCTTTCTAAACTATGCTGTTCTTTATATGAATATATATAAAAAACCCTACATGTTGAAATTTGTTTCTTCTGAAAATATTGAATTCATTTTTGAGAGTCATCATCAGCAACAAGTTGTAACTCCTGCCACTACAAACTGATGATCAAGTGCAGCCTCATCTATTGCAATCCTGAAGCATCTTTGTCACAATATAAAATACATATATGTGTTGAATTAATTACTTTAGAGATTAATTAACCTTTATATTTAATAGAACTAGATAGGATTGCCTATAGCTGGGTTCACACACCTCCCCAGTTCTTTGAACAGGAGTAGTTGTTTATCCCTTGTTTTCTGTTCAGGATTGGGTTTCCAGTTAATTCTAAAGTCTTTTGATTCTCTTTCAATACCAGTAGCCCCTTGTGTCTTTGTGGCATTATCATCTTGCTTTGGGTATATTGATTTAAAAAATTGTTTTCTCTTAAAATACAAATTATTTTTTTTAAGGAGTCCATTGAGAATTGATGACCCAAGCTAGTACAACTAGGTTCCTTGCACAGGTTGGTATGGTTGCAATTGTTTATACTGAGCAACAGCAACCCTCTCTTATTACACCTACAATCTCATGGCACACAAGTGTGTGATATCTGGGAAGAGAAAGCAGGCTACAGGAGATACCAGATAATACAGAATTATTAACTGCCTTCAGGTCCCTCTCCCTGGATTTTCTAGGCTGGTTTGAATTCAGAGTTTTCCTTCTCCTAGACCAGTTGTCACCCAAAGCTATAGAACCCAGTCTGTCCTGGTATTTACCCATAGCTCGGAGGGAAAAGGGTTCGGTTCATACTTTTTCCAAGGGTAATAGCACCTAACTTAATGTAATGAATTTGACTGAAATTTGATCTTGGTTCCCTGATTCCACAATCCAAGACACAATCCATTACTCTACTGTGCCTCTTCAGGCCAGAACAGTTGGATTCATGCCTTTCCCAAGGGTATTAGCACATAAGTGAATGTAATGAACTTGACTGGAATTTGAACTCGGCTCTCTGATTCTTCAATCTGAACCGCAGTCCATTACTCTACCATGCCTCTTCAGGCCAGAAGATTTGAGTTCATACCCTTCCAAAGGGTACACACAGATAAGTGAATGTAATGAACTCTACTGGAATTTGATGTCAGCTCTCCAATTCCTCAATCCAAGCCGCAATCCATTACTCCACTATGCCTGCATACTCCAACATGACTCCATATATTTTTCTATAATGTAAAGATACACCATGGAATTTCCAGCATTTTTTTTAAAGAAATTTTACCCCTCTTTTGTGAATTTTCAGGCATTTACAAACAAGAAACTTTGGGAACCAACTTACAAGATCCATCGCGGCAATCTCCACAAGAGCACATTCAATCTTGGAGAAGATGATCCCAATGTTGAAATTCCTCAAACCTCTTATCAGGCAAACTTTGAAGCTAAACTGAATCAATCTGTAAGTCTGACTGCTGAAATTTCCCTTCAACATAAGATCTGAGTGTCACTAAAGATTTTGATCAATTTAAAGGTTTAGTAATTACCTTCTTTATGAAATCTGTAAAGGGTATTTCTAAAGTTCTTATCCAGATTAGAGGTTTAATAATTTCTCTTCCATATAAACTTATAATGGGAGTGTCTCAATTCCTTGTTTAGATTAAAGGTTTAATAATTTCTCTTCCATATAAGACATATACAGGGTGTGTCTCAATTCTTTGTTCAGATTAGGGGTTTAATAATTTCTCTTCCATATAAGCTATATACACGGTGTGACTCAATTCCTTGTTCAGTTTAGATGTTTAATACAAAGTGAGTCAAAAAGTAATGCAATTTATTTTATTATATAAGAAATAAGGAACACACTCAAATATATCGTAGATCAAGATATAGCTATATATCACAGGTTCACTTCCCTACTTTTCAACATAGTTGCCACCTCTTTCGATGGCAGTGTTCAATCTATGAATGAAGCCATGTGTCCCACCTTCATAAAACTCAGCTACTTGCTGGTATAGCCAGTTCCTTTCAGCAATTTTCACTAGTTCATCACCACCTGACTCAGCACCCTTAGATTTCCATCTCTTTGGTCCAATGAAAGGGGCACTGAGGGGATGCACATTATGGTGGTGATGAAGAAGTGAAAACTGCTGAAAGGAATTGGCAACATCAGCAGCCAACTGATTTTTACAAAGGGAACTAGTATACAGGTTTGTTCGTGGGTGGGACATGACCATTGAAAAAGGTGGGGACTATGTTGCAAGGTAGGTATGTGAACCTGTGATGTACAGCTATATCTTGATGTAGGATATGTTTGATTGTGTTCCTTATTTGTAATGTAATAAAACAAATTACATTAATTTTTACTCACCCTGATAATTCCCTTCTATATAAATTCTGTACATTGCATTTGTAAAGGTCTTATTCAGATCAAACTTTTAATCATTTCTTTTCTAGATAAGCATTCTTTCTTCATTATAATAGTAATGGTAATATTAGTGGCTTCCTTATAAAGAAATAGTCAGCATTCATTGACAACACATCCAGTACTACTATCAGTTGAAATTTTAAAAACCTTTTTTCTTAAAACAATTTTTCAGGAAGATAGGTTTCAAGCTCTTTCCAGTATTGATGGAGGTTTCCTTCCTAACTTTTTATTTGAAGTCATGTAGAATATGAACATTTTCATTATATCATTATTTTCTTATCGAGGTGCATGTGCTATCCATTTTAGTTGTTGCTGTTGTTGAAAGTCCTCAAGTGATACTTTGCTTGGTTTCTGGAAGGCCAATAATATTCACCCTTTCTGGATGCCTTCTTTTTTTTTTTATTCCAATGTTAAATTTATCACCAAATTTAGAAAAGAAATATTTTACTTGGTTTCTTGAAGGCATCTTTCTTTATTCCAATGTTAAATTTATCACCAAATTTAGAAAAGAAATATTTTGCCTGGTTTCCTGAAAACATCTTTTTCTATTCCAATGTTAAATTTATCACCAAATTTAGAAAAGAAATATTTTACTTGGTTTCTTGAAGGCATCTTTCTTTATTCCAATGTTAAATTTATCACCAAATTTAGAAAAGAAATATTTTGCCTGGTTTCCTGAAAACATCTTTTTCTATTCCAATGTTAAATTTATCACCAAATTTAGAAAAGAAATATTTTATTTGGTTTCTTGAAGGCATCTTTCTTTATTCCAATCTTAAATTTATCACCAAATTTAGAAAAGAAATATTTTACTTGGTTTCTTGAAGGAATCTTTCTTTATTCCAATGTTAAATTTATCACCAAATTTAGAAAAGAAATATTTTATTTGGTTTCTTGAAGGTGTCTTTCTCGATTCTAATGCTAAAGTTACCACCATATATAGAAAATAATAATTGAACTGCACTTGCTGCATTTAATATGGCAATATATTAATATCAATAAATGTGGTAATATACCAAAGTGGATCTCTTATATATTGTGAATTTTTCTATTTAAAAGCATTTTATTTTTTCATTATCAGAATGAATTCAATCTAGCACTTGGCAAAAAACTTGATTTCAAACAATGCAAAAATAAAAGCCCTGCCTTGCATGATTTAATGACAATGGATGATCCAGAATGCTCTTCCTACCCATCATACTGGACGCAGTACAAGATAACTCATGGCAAGTTAGGTCTCGCTTTGGGAACTGGTAAAGGTAGACCAACAAAACAGGCACCAAGATATAACATTGTTACTGGTTAGTATTATTACATTATATTTTAAGAGATTCTCTAAAATTGTTGTATTTGGCTTTTGATGTTAAAACAATTATAAAAAAAAAAAAAAGCAGCAAACATGAACATTTGTGCCAGCAAAAATAGTATTTCAAAGGGGTGTTTTTTTCTATTGACACTGCTATTATTTTAACTACGTTCACTTCCTTGGTAATGTTTTATTAACATTACTAAAAATTATCTTTTATAAAGATTTATTATTTACTATTTTATAAAGAAATAAATGTTAAAAGAAATCTTTTTATTAAAAAATTTAAAAAAATTTAAAATTATAAAAAGATATAAACAATCTACAATGCAATAAGTTTTAAAACAACTAATTACCAATTTTACTTACCTTCATTCCCTCGGCAATGTTTGTTGCTATAAAAAGCAATGATTAAAATTTTAATAAAACTCATAAATATATTTCCTCGGTATGATGATAAACTACATCTGGCAACCAAGGCCTCTGTCTGGGATTTTTGAGGAGCGTGGAACCACCTCTTAATTACTGTTGTTCTCAGGTCCACACTGACCCCAGGTGGTAGCACCTATTATTTCCTAACCATGAGCAAATAGTTAACCCCTAACAGGGGTCAAAACACTATGAAAGTATAAAAATACATTTTAATAGTAAAAATACCAGCACTACATTTTTATAATAAAAAAATTACCAGCAATATATTTTTGTAAAAAATTTTAAAAAATTACCAGCAATACATTTTTGAAAAAAAATATTACCAGCAATACATTTTTTTAAAAGAAATTAATGCTCCCAAGAAAATTAAATTTTAGCATTAAATGGCCCATAAGGAGTTGATTTGCCATTAAACTAACTGTACATTTTCCTTGTTCTTTGAGAATTTACAACAAAAATATTAAACACAATTTATTTATTAGATCTTTTATTTACAAAAATGATTTTTATATTTACAACTCCTTCCATATCTATTGAACAGGAGTAGAGGTTCATCCCTTGTTTCCTGTTCAGGATAAGGTTTATTGGTTCTCTTTCTTCTACCACAGTGATTTAACTGTCTTAACTTTTTGGTGATTGGACTTACTAGTGGCTGTGACTTTCCATTGTGAGAGTACCAGGTTGACAGTTTGCTGGCTGCTCCCTCCGACTGATTATTAGGAGCCTGAATTCTTTGATTACATTTAGAGAGTCTGCTCTGATCAACAGTCACATAATATCAGGGTATTTGTAGTGCCATGTCACATATGGATAGATGTCCCTGCTTGTATTTCCAGTGGACAATCCTGAAGCCACACTATGCTTAGTTCTCAGACATATTGTGGCTAGTTTGTATTACCATTGATGACAGTGACAGTTACTGTGGTCTTTTCTCTCTCTCCTCAAAATGAATTTCATGGAAAACACAACAAAAAGAAATACAACTAAACCAGTAAACAAAAAATGACTACCCCACTCAGCCTTTCTTTCATTAATATTTGTAGTATCTGTCCCAACTTTTGCAGCATAGAATCTTTCCTCTTGGAACAGTTGCCTGATATGTTTGCCCTCTGTGAAACTAACTTTAATTCTTCCATTGCTGCCAATGAATTCTTGGTCTCAGTCTATTTCTCTCTTTGCTTAAAAGATTCCAGCATTCACATGCATGGCCTTGGTGTTTATATCCGGGATAATCTTCCAATGGCCAGTGAAATATCTCTCGGGGCCTCGCACTACTCCTTCATGTGCTTCCGTCTTTCATTACTAAACTCTGTTAGCTATCTCTTTTTCCTTTATTGCTCCCCCTCTTCTCATAACTGCAGTGTATGAGATATAATTGCAGACAGTATAGAAAAAGCTCTTTCCCTCCACCCATTTGCGAACATCTTTGTCTTTGGTGCTCACCATAACACATGGCTTAAACATTCTAAAGGGACTGATGTTGCCAGTGTTCAGACATTAAATTTTTTCATTGCCCATTCCTTTACTCAAATCGTGGACTTCCCTACCTGTTTCCCTAGCAAAACCAAGCAACATACTTCTCTATTTATTTCTGACCTCCTCTCCTCGCTCTTACCAAACTTTGCAACACTGCCCTCTTGGTAACTCTGACCACTCTGTGGTATCTATTGATATTTCATTTCAATCTTCTATTAAACAGGAACTCCCTATCCGTTAGACCTCTTTCCATTACTTGCATGCTGATTGGGACTCACTCCGTGATTTTCTCCATAATGCCCCTTGGACTGACATCTTTAAATTCCCAATTGAAAATTGCACCACTAAGATTTCTTCCTTGGTCAAAGACGGCATGAACACTTTCATCCCTTCTCAATCCTCTCTATGGTTCACACCAGCATGCTTGGCTGCTATAACACACAGTAACCACTATTTTCGACTATGCCAGTGTGATGGCTCTCATCACAACAAGTGCATATATGTTGCTGCTCGCAATAAATGTAAGCAAGTCCTCAAAGAAGCAAAATTCCTGATTGCTGAGAGAATGAGGAACTGCTGATGGCTGATGCTATGCTCCAAGGCTCACATTCTCTGCTGATATGAGGTGGAAAGATTATATTGAATCCATCTTTGTTATGGTCCGGTTCCTTGTACCACAGTGATAGTGCAAGGTAGAACCAATAAAGAAGAACTCGAATACAGATATGGAATAACACAGATATATTACAAACAGGAATATATACAGAGAGGTAGAAAAGTGTTAGTATGAACAATCGGGTTTAGTAGTAATTGTCTGAATGACTCTGTTTCGGACTGCCTCTGACTCGACTGACAGACTCCTGACGGACTTCACTCCAGACTTCACACTGATCTCTAGACTTCAGACAGAACTCCAGACTTCAGACAGAACTCCCTGCTTCCTCTTGAGGTGCAGTATTTATTATGTATGGAATAGTCCATTATGTTATTATGGGTAAGGTCCCATAACACATTGCTAGGTCAGCTGCTAAAAAAGTCAGTTCAATATCTCATGTGAGACAATTTTTCTCTCCAGAATATATCTTATATATCTATAAGTCTACCATTTGTCCATGCTTAGAATATTACTGCCACATATAGTCTGGTGCTCCTGCTGTTTATCTTGAGCTCCTTGATAAGATCTCAAAAAAAATCTGCAATATTATTGGTCCTGATCTGGCAGCTCAGCTTCAGTCACTTTCCCACCACTGTAAGGTTGCCTCTCTGTGCCTTTTCTATAAATACTTTCATGGTAATTATTCAAATAAGCTCTTTGCTGTAGCACCTAGAATTTTTTAATTTAAATGTAGCACTAGACTGGCATCGAGATCTCATCAATCTAAAGTTAAGTTGGTTAGATGTAGCCATAAATTCTATGCTAACACTTTCTTCTCTCACACTTCTTGCTTGTTGAACTCCCTTCTGGCTTTCTAGCCAACTTTAATCTGAAAAAATTTAAATACAATTTCACTCACTATCTACTGTCTGCCTGATTTCTCTTTCTGCTTATTATTTCTGTTCTTAATTCTTTTACGCTATGTAACTCCTTGTGTTTTAGTGACATAATAATGTCACTAAAAACACAAGGAATTACATAGTGTATTTTGGGTGATTCCAATAAAAAAAATTTTTTTTTTAAATGCTAACCAATAAATACAATGTAATGTTTATCATTTATCAATTTATAAATAAATATGAAAATAATTTTTTTTATTGACAAACTTAAAAAAAATGTCTATAAACAAGAAACTTTACATAAACACATAACAATAAATAACTGTAATTATAACTTTTGAAAAAATGCATTTTCCAGATATTTCTCTCATTTGCTCTTGCTGCATAAATCCACGAAAATTGGTTGAGAGTATCTCTTCCTCTGAACCAAAGTGGTATTCTGGACATTTTTGCACATGTCTATGCTAGTTGGTTTGTTATATTGTGATGATTTCTATCATTTGCTCTTTTATATAAAGGGCTTCTAGAATTTGAACTTTTGTTTTTATTTTCATGGTGGAGTATACTTGTATTCCCTCTCTGCCCTATCATATCCCAAATCCTCATTCCAGTTTCTCAAATAATCAAAATCATTAACTAACTCATTACACCATACATGCCTAATAAATACAACATTAAATCAACTAATAAACTAATCCAAATCTTAAAAACACAAAATCCTAATAATGAAACCATTGCCTCACTTGACATTGAAAGGATATTTACCAATGTCCCAGTTAGAGAAACTGTTGTTATAATTATAAAGAATATTTACAACAATCCATCTCTCCCTCCACTAAAATTTAATTCTAACATATTACAGAAACTACTTTTGACTTGTAACAATGTGGTTCCCTTCTATGACCATCAAAATAATATATATGTACAACGTGATAGTGTTTCCATGGGTTCAGTTCTAAGAACAACTTTTAGTAATTTCTACATGGTTAACCTTGAAAATAAGATATTTCATACCGCTAAAAAACCCTCCATCTAACTAAGATATGTAAATGAGATTCTCATCTTAGGCAAAAGTATAGATGAACTGCAAAAAAACTTCCAAAAACTCCATGCTTAAGTTTACATATGAACTTAACAATAGCAATAAAATCCCTTTTTTTGATGTATTGATAGACATTAATAATAATGCATTTACTATCACCACCATATAAAAAAACAACTAGTAGAAACATGTGCACTCTCACCTATAAAACTGAAAGTCCTAACTATTATAAAAAAGCAATTATACAAAATTTAATAAACCATGCAAAAGCTAACTTCAAAATGAAAAAGATTTTCTACACTGAATTAATGAACATTAAACACACTCTCATTAATAATGACTTTCCTAATTACATTGTTGATGAACAAATTAGATGTGCTATTAGAAATATTAGTATAAATCAAAAAGGACATAATGCTTCCTCAAATAACCCAAAACCTACTATACTGTAATTAAATACATTCTAACTACAGACAATATGAAAATATCCTAAAAAAACTCACAAGTACTAATATATCCCCCACTGATCCCAGTAAAAAAATAAAGCTAATTATATAATACACTAAATTAAATACAACCAACTTGATCATCAGCAAACTCTTCTCTATCAACCAGTGTTTTACAAAAAAAACAACATTGTATATAAATTTAAGTGCCCTTTGGGAGATTGTATCTATGACAAAAAAATATATATATGTTGTCTTTACGACAATGACCTTATCAAGGAGAATTAC